AATATTATTAGCTTAAAGAAGTTTGTATAAATAAAATAAATTAGATTGTTAAAATATTCGGGTGCATTGAACCATTCAGGCACATATAGAAAGCTCAGTTCTCAATCATTCGACTTAAGTTCTTTCGGTAATAATAATATAATTAGCAATGCTGAATATTTGCTATCTCACAAAAAATAAAGTTGATAATAATCATGTTGTACATGCAGTGAATAAAAAGTCCTTGTCCGTTATTTTACGGTGGTTGCTAGTTCGCAAATTACAAATATATTTATTTATTCTTGGTGAGATTGCAATAGGCTAAAATCACCTTTTTGGCACCCACCAACAGCTAAAAAATAAGTAAATACTACGTTAAACGAAATGCAAACGTTGGGTGCTCTTTGTTTATGTTAGTTTAGTTTTAATTAATAGATTACATCTGCATTTTATAATGCTGCTTGTGTGTGTAATTAAATTACATACTGATAAAATTCCACCAAAGTTCAGTCGAATGCTATAGGGTATAATGACGTGTAAAGAAAACGAAATTCTATTTAGTCCGTCCATTAGATAATCAAAAAATAATCGAAACGTATTTCTTCTTTTGTCAATCGACCAAAAATGGACAAATATAAGGCGCGTCAATGTTTGGGAGTGAGGGCTCGTGGCGTCGTCACTTCTAAGTAGAAATTGTACCAAGACGTACCTTTAATGTTTTGATAATGTGAAAAATGAAAAAACATTTATCTAATATTTTTTGATAAGATACTAGATGGACAAAGAAAAAAAATACATGTCGTCATCCCTATTGCGTCATATATCCCATTGCGACGTTAAAACCTTTGCCCGAAGTTCTTTAAATAAAAGGTATAAAGCCATGGCACATGGCTATTCGTATTATACCCTATTCTCATAAAACGGAGAGACTGCTGTCAAATTGACGAATAGTTTATTCAAGTAGCCATGCGAAATACCAGCTTAATAGATAGGCACAAAAAATATTTATTTATTATCATTATCAGGAAGAACCGTATTTATGTAATATATACCTACGTTACATTGTTGTAAGTTATAATTAGCCATAATATCGATACATTTTTATATCGATAGTATGGCTGATCAAAAATCGATAATCAACCATCGATAGTTTAGCATCCCCAGTGATAACCAGCGATTTGACACTTAGTACAATTGATGATGATGACAGAGCATTTTATTTGATTATATCATTAAAGTAGAGCGAATCCATTTTAAAAAATCAATAAAAACAGTACGTAACACTTTCTGCACAAAATGGAATTTTCTCAGTATCCGATTCACTTACAGATTATTTTAATTCAATATTCCAAAAATAACTTTTCTATATAAATTATATACTAAAAGCGGAATGCGTATGGGCAGGGAACAATGAACTTTTCATTAAGCATACTCAGTTTAGAAATTTAAGCCCCGCCCTTACATATCCTCCTAATAAATAAAGAAATATGCTATGTTTGACATAAATACAGCTTTTCATCTAACATAATTTAGCAATAGAAGATCGGCAAATAGGCAATAAAAATCCACATGATTATAAAAAAAAGTTGTGTTCATATCAAACAGACATACAATTATTAATTGCATAGTTTTTTTTTATTATTTTTATTTGGTTTTAAAATTAATAAATTACATAGTACTAGGTATATTTATGGCTGATCTCTATTACAACTATTTATAACATCATCGAACTCATCGCGATGCTGGTGGTATATCAGTGGAATGGTGCATTAATCTAGGTGCATAACGGAAAGAACACTGACAAAACATTTTTTTTTTATATCATTTATTTCATATAATCTCTTTTCTGCTCGACAATAGTCGCAAAAATAACTTAGAAAAACAAAACTCTAACAAAAAATCTAAAGAAAATTTAGCTAAAGAAAATTCCACGCGGACCAGGCAGCAGACTGGACTCGAACCCGCACCATTCGCTATCCAGGCGAATGTACTGGCTATAATGCTACCGCGGCCCTGATGGGCGTGCCGAATTCTCTCTAACCTTTCTTAAGATGCAAGATAGCGCCATCTCTTCGCATTGCAGGTAATCCACAATCTCAATAATTACAGTATAGGTAGGGGAAAACTTCTTCAGTAAAACCACAGACAAAAAACTTGCGTTGTAAACGTTTTATATGTAAAATTGCTACTGCGCAGGCTCTCGTCTGTGGTCGATGCTCAAGAAATATGCCGGGGTGCATACAACTTTGTCGTAAGTTTTTAAGTGTAGCTGTTATGAAACCAGCACAGGTATCTTTGAATACAGACTTTAAATTGATACTGATCAAAATGAAAAGATGCCTCCAGTGTTCTCTTCGCTATGCAATCACTTATTTAAACGACGTTAAACGAAAACAGAACAGCGGGCATCACGTGAAACCGATAAAATAATATTGACCAGCAACTAGATAACATGTTTTTGTTTTAATATCCCAACGTGCCGCTCTGTTGCGGATCGACTGCCGACGCGATTGATAAAAAGCAAGAACAAAAATCTAATTCAACAACTTACGATAAAAGACGGATAGTCACACTAATCTAAGTTAATACCGTTACAAGACGTAGACCAGAGACAACCTGTTATAATATTATCTAAGGCCCACTTGCAGCAAATTTGCTTAATCTCGATTCAACTAAAACCACATTTAACCTATACAAAAATGTCAAATTGAATCTGATATGAATTCTTTTATGGGCTCTATCTAGTTTTAGTTAAATCCAAAATTAGCAAAATTGCTCTAAGTGGACCTAAAATAAGGTAAATTTTTCGTATGACAATCTTGCAATTTAGTTGCATGCTATTAATGTTCGTTTTATTCCTGTGTTTTGTAAATTTTGTATTACAGATGATTGAATTGATTCAGTAATGTTTCTTTAAACTGTTGCCCTCTTATTAATAAACGAGGAATAAGCTTAGACTAGTTAAACCGTGTTTTGTCCTTATCACTCAAATGCCACTTGTCATTCAACGAACAGAGATAAAACATGGAGTAACTAATTCCAGCTTAATCTTCATTTATTAATAAGGGGGTTGGAGTGTATTGCGAGTCCAAACGACAATAACTCACGACACTGGTAATAAATTAACCGTACAGTATTCCAAGTATCTCTGGTCTATCACAAATATTACCTCACTTTCACATAATACTAAGGGTAAGAGAGAGGCAAGATACGGAAATATCAGCAGTCGATCTCGCGTGTTATTTATTCATACAAAAGAAAAAACATCAAACAAAACTACAAATTTAATTATATGTGTACTAACTAACGTATCCAACATACCACGTCGACGCGTCACGCAACATTTAGTCACTGTTATGTTATAGAAGCGTCCTTTCGCATATTCCCGTTCGCACACGACTCCCAGTCTAGATCCAACTCGCAACGTACGCAAGTTTGGCTTAATCATAATAAATTACACAATTAACAACATTCAAACTACATAAATGCGTTAACTCTGTTAAAAACAGATAATTATAACACTTAACAAGAATGCATGTATTGTATGTATGTATGTATGTATGGTGGTACCCACCCGTCTTATTTACAAATGATTGTAGTAAATAGATTTCTGTGTTTCGCAACTTAGAAATAGATTAAGACGAGGCATAGAATTCCAATTAGTGTTCATCATTTGTGAATATGACAATAGCTAAGCGTTTTCACTGTTCGCTGGTACGCATGCAAATTGCAAGTTACAATGAATTTAAATATTACTTGAAAAAATCAACTCGGTCAAGGTTAATTGCTACCTTTTATAAGGCAAATGTTACTCGGTCAAGGTTAATTGCTACCTTTTATAAGGCAAATGTTAGCCTTTAAGTGTATTCTACAATTAATTTTAATATAAGGCAACTTGCACTTTGCATGCTCAAACATTGAACGCTAGAAATTCAACTTTTTTCTGTACTGTCCGTAGGCACGCATTTGGTAAATACTGGCACACACAAATTGTGATTAACAATAATGTATTAATCATAGAAATGGTTTAAATACATCGAATATTAAAAACACGCTTTCATAACGTATCTTTTGTACTATAGTAATTTCAATCTTATAATAACATTAGACGGTTATACTTTTTAAAGTTGGATGATAGAAATGTATGTACAGTGCTAGATATTTAGTATTAGGTTTTCTCATATAGGTTTTCTTACTGATATTTCGAACCATTTGGCATGTTAAGGTGCTATTTAAGTATATAATACAAATACTACATATATCTTACAGTAGTAACTGAACACTTTCACTGTAACAATAGGTTAGATGGTATCATCACAATAGTACTACCAACATTAAATTTCTGTTGAACATTATAAAATTATAATGATCACTCAATCTTTTAAGAGCGGACGCGAGCTGAGAAACATTTGAGAAATAGGTACTTGAAAAAGCTAATACTATCGCGTATTGCCAAATACCGTGCGATAGGGACAACAGTAGCTAATGCTGAAACGTGGTTACAAAAATTGCAAAATTCGTGGTTTGGATCTCCACATTTCCTCCTCGAAAATTAGATATATTAACCAGGGCTTACGGTATTTTTACAACAGGTTTCCCAATAAGCATTTCAAAACTTGCTCAACATTGGGACACTTTTGATAGTTATAACTTGTGTAAAAGAAATTTTACCCATAGAATAATAAGTAGTAATAATAGGCCTCTGTGTTTTGCTTTTTTTGTAAATGTTTATTGAATATCCACACTAGACGTCTTTAGTGGTAATAAAAATTGATTATTTTTGGCATTTTTAAGGGCTTCTACTTTATTTGAAACACACGTTATCAATAAGGAGCAAAGAATGAGTAAAATTATATTTTATTTATGAAAATCATCTCTTTAGTGATAAAAATCAAGGAGGAATCAGTCGAGATCCTTGGTATGGGTAAACATTGCCCGCCTCCCCTCTTAAGTGATTTATTGAAGATTGGTAAGAACATTTTATTGCCATTGTGTAAATTGTGCTAACTGAAATTTACAACTGTATTTGAATCTGTAGTTAAAGTAGGCCGGCTAGGTTGTAACATCCTAGATTTGTACCTATATTAAATAATAATAAAAATATGTCTTCTCAAAGAATGCTTTATGAAGGTACTGCAAAAACTTGAATGGTTGCATAGCTCGCTACGGACAATTGAAGCGACTACGGATTGCTACGACGGCTGCGTGTGTGGCGCTGCGTAGTAAAATTCACCTATAGTGCGATTCAAACTTTATAGCGGTCGTGAAGTTAGCAGCGAGCGCAACTTTAAGCAGGTTTAAGTTCAGTGACATCCCGCACTCACCTGCATCACGTTATACTCTCTTTCTCTGAGACAAAAGTTAAACACTTAAACTAGCTTCTTAAACTTTTTTATTGAGAGCATAGATGGCCGGTGTAACCAGACTGATTACACATTTCGACATAACATTATTTGCTTTATATTTACACTACTCTTCAATTTAGTGGTATTATAAGTTCAAAATTTGATAAAAGCTACAGTTTTAGGTGTTTTAATGTCACTTTTTTAATTATGACTTTTTTGCGTATTAAATTTGACTAATTGATAAACCTTCTTACGCGACTGCGCACGCACGCAGCGTGAAACAGTATATATATATATATTTATTATAGTTTGTTCACCTTTTGTCGTTTTCTGCGCCGCGATGTGGGCTAACTTCACAGCCGCTATTAAGTTTGTATTGTTCTCTATCTTAGCACGATCGGAACCAAATTTGCGTGTCGCGAGCGCGGGTGATTCGATCTGCGCTAGCACTGGTTGACGTCGGGCGGCGTGGACAGGTAAGGATCGGCGCGTTTGTGCTCGATCAGAGCTTTGACCGTCGACGTGTCCGCGGGGAGTTCAGACTTCTTCCGTAGCAGTGGTTTGCTCGCGTTGTAGTTCTGTTTCCGCGCCTGTGTAAAGAAGTTGATAAATAAATAATAATAATAAATATTTTCTCAAACACTCACACCAATTAGCCTAGCCCCAAAGAAAGCACTGTAAGCAGTGCCGTCTTTGACCTATTGGAGGCCCTGGGCATATTAGGATAATGACTTCCGTTTGGTGATTTAACAGGAACTAGGGACTTTGTATTTGATCTGAGGGGACCCTCTATCGACCGCGTGGCCCTGGGCACTTGCCCAAAGTGCCCACTGGGAAAGACGGGTCTGACTGTAAGGCTTGTGTTATGGGATATTAAGGTAACGGATAGAATACATATACTGTACATATATAAGCATATTTATATAGAAATACATATTAAACAACCATGATTGGAGTACAAATGCTCGTATTCATCACACAAACATCTGCCCTCACCGGGATTCGAACCCGGGACCTCTCGAGTCGGTGACACCATGAAATCCGGCGTACAAACCACTCGGCCACGGAGGTCGTTGGTCGTTATGAAATAAATAAATATATATCTAACGTTCACACCAATTAGCTGAGCCCCACAGAAAGCACTGTAAGGCTTGTGTTATGGGATACTAAGGTGACGAATACAAATCGTATACTGCTACATAAATAAGTATAACTCGTGTTATTAAAGAAAGGAATCGCAAATGACGTCATAAGACATTGTATCCTTTTCGCAAATGCTATCCTTAGTAATGTGCGAGTGAGACAGAGTGTCTTGCATCGGCATTTTCAAATCCTTTCTTTGATGACACGAGTTATATATTTTCAGTTTTGTGAACGGATGTGATATCGAGATATGTTTTAGTGTATGTGCTATTTTATTACGACATAAGTTTCACAGCTATATCTTCCACGTCTTTATTAATAAAACAGTTGGACTATAGAAAAAAATCCCGCGGACCAGGTAGCAGACGGGACTCGAACCCGCACCCTTCGCTAACCAGGCGAATGCACTGATCATTACGTTACCGCAGCTCTGATGGCCGTGTCGAATTTTCTCTAACATTTCTTAGGCTGCAAGGCAGCGCCATATCTTTGCATTGTAGGACATTGCTTATGCAGCGAGTGTAGTTTCCAGAAAATTAGAAAAACCAACACAAGCTAACTTAGTCAAACTGAAGAGAATTCTACGATACTTACAATATACCTTGAGTCTAGGTATTCTGTGTTAAAATGACTACAAGAAAAAAAAAGAATGTTACAGTGATGCAGACCATGGCGGTGATACAACCACAGGAAGGTCCATGACAGGTGTGTTGTGTTTATACGCTGGTGGTCCAGTCTCATGGCTAAGTCACAGGCAAAGCAGTGTTGCAATTTCAACTACTGAGGCAGAGTTTGTTGCAGCCTGTGAGTGAGCTGGCCCGCGGGGCGTGGGGGCGTCGGGCGTCACACTCACCTCGGTCGCCTCCCGCTCCACGTGCTGGTAGGAGAGGTCGGGCTCGGGCGCGGGCCCGTGGGGCGTGGGGGCGTCGGGCGTCACACTCACCTCGGCCGCCTCCCGCTCCACGTGCTGGTAGGAGAGGTCGGGCTCGGGCGCGGGCCCGTGGGGCGTGGGGGCGTCGGGCGTCACACTCACCTCGGCCGCCTCCCGCTCCACGTGCTGGTAGGAGAGGTCGGGCTCGGGCGCGGGCCCGCGGGGCGTGGGGGCGTCGGGCGTCACACTCACCTCGGCCGCCTCCCGCTCCACGTGCTGGTAGGAGAGGTCGGGCTCGGGCGCGGGCCCGCAGGGCGTGGGGGCGTCGGGCGTCACACTCACCTCGGCCGCCTCCCGCTCCTCGTGCTGGTAGGGGAGGTCGGGCTCGGGCGCGGGCCCGTGGGGCGTGGGGGCGTCGGGCGTCACACTCACCTCGGCCGCCTCCCGCTCCACGTGCTGGTAGGAGAGGTCGGGCTCGGGCGCGGGCCCGCGGGGCGTGGGGGCGTCGGGCGTCACACTCACCTCGGCCGCCTCCCGCTCCACGTGCTGGTAGGAGAGGTCGGGCTCGGGCGCGGGCCCGCGGGGCGTGGGGCCGTCGGGCGCGGGGGGCCGGCACACGGGGTTGGTGGCCGCGCGCGTTTCTAACTGCTGCCACAACTCCTCGCGCTGCAGCATCCTCTCCCGCTCCCTGAGACACAAACCAAAAGACTGTTGGTTTACACGGAACAAACACTAAGTGAAGAAGTTGTATACAGACTCTACTCAAGGCAAGCGGTTAGCGCAATCATTGATCTACGATCCTGGAAGTTTAGCGATTTTTAGCGTTGTAATAGAGATCAAGGGAGTGACAAAACAATCCCGTTTCGGACACTATACCCTGGTTGCAAAATTCTGTAATAAATAGAAAAAAGTACTGAATATTATGCTACCGCATATGATACCTACCGCTAAAAAGTACTGATGGTCGTATCGAATTTTCTCTAGCATTTCTTAGGCTGCAAGGCAGCACCATCTCTTCGCATTGAAGGTAACCCAGATGAGATGGCGACCCATATGGATGAGAAGAGATGGTGCTGCCCTTGCAGCCTAAGAAATATTAGATAAAATTCGACACGACCATCAGGGCCGCGGTAGCATAATGGTCAATGCATTCGCCCGGATATCGAAGGTTGCGGGTTCGAATTCCGTCTGCAGCCTGGGCCGCGTGGATTTTTTTCCAGTAAAATTTTCTTTAGATTCGAACATCTAGCAGTTAAATACTTAAAAAAATATATAACTAGTAATAGTATTCATAAATTAAAGAGATCCGAAACGTCAAGAAAAAAGTTCTATTAGAACGCACATTCAACCATTGTTCGCGGCCACTAACATAACCACTAGTGGCTAGAGTCACGTCACTGGACGCAGCCAGCAATCGCAGTGGCTAATGACGGCAACCGGTGGCCGCTTCTAGCGGCTGCTAGTGGTGAACTTGACTGAATTCCGTTCATTAAAGAGCCCTTTTTGCAAAAATTGCGCCACGTACTCATCGGCGCGTAGGTAGATTTGCACTAGTATATAATATTGCATTTTACCGGTGATGTTTCGAGTCTTATAAAATAATTATTAATGAACTAATTATAAAAATATATACATATTTCAGTAGTTCAATCTACCATAGATTAGTTTTATGAAAGTTTTTAATAGTAATTCTATTTAATTCAATATCAAAATACGAGGTAAACCTGCATTATTTTTTGGGAAAACTCACGGAGGTTAGATGTTTTTTTGATAAATTAATGCGATGGAAAATCAAAATTCTTATGCATTATTTTATAACAAAAACATATTTCTGATGTCGTAGTAATTAATTTGATCTAATTTATTGAACATTATTTAGAGATTCAGGCGTTTGAAGTTGTGCATATTATCGTTTTTTTCCGTAAACTAGCTGCGGTAGAACGATAATTACAAAAAAAAGGAAAATAGTATTTGCAAATATTCTACATTAACTTACAATAGGAATAATAAATCTACTGTCTATTTCTATTGGAAATAGTCAAAATCTTAACTAAGGGCGTAAACGAGGCGCTCAAAAATTACGATATTTTGCAAAAAATGTGAAAGGGCTCTTAAGTCGAGAACTTGCAGGGGTAGAACGCGTTTGTGAAATGGAAATACTACTGATTTTGTTGTTGTAAACTGAGACGTAAAACAACGTACCGACTGAGTGTGCACGCGATACGAGCGACAAAACGGCCACTTAAACGCTCGGCTCGTGCCGATGATATACTTAGCAAAATGTATGAAAATACTCGTCATCAGATTGTGGGCGCATTTAGTGGCCCGGCCAGTGGCTCAATGTGCGTTTGCGCAAAGAAACGACTGTTTGTATAACAAATTTCATTATATAGAGTACATAGCGAAAGCGATATGATGCGGTAACATAATTTCTACAAGTCAAACGATAAACACGAATAAATGTAAAACAAAAAACATTAACAACTAAATTAGAATATACAAAACTACATTTTCGGACATATCTATTGGTCCACCTAGCTGTTTAAGTTTTGAGCGTCCCTAGCTAAAAATAACAATTATGAAAATACATTGAGCAAAAAGTTATTACCTAAGCAGTTTTGAAGCAGATTTATTAACCATCTTTATGTGTGTTTTTAAAGTTTTTGTTTAACTATCTATCTATATATATAAAACTCAAAGGTGACTGACTGACTGACATAGTGATCTATCAACGCACAGCCCAAACCACTGGACGGATCGGGCTGAAATTTGGCATGCAGGTAGATGTTATGACGTAGGCATCTGCTAAGAAAGGATTTTGATCAATTCTACCCCCAAGGGGATAAAATAGGGATGGAAAGTTTGTATGAAACCTTGTCAATTTTAAACCGATCGGGCTGAGACTTTGCATGCAGGTATAAAAAGAATTATAGTTGAATGTCATTGTATATAATACAAGCCTGAAAACAAAAACTGTAGTCTACAGCTCTACACCGAAGCGAAGCGAGGGCGGGCCGCTAGTAAACTTATATTCTTTCTACAGTTCGTCGACTTATAACGCTAAGTGGGTCGATAGATACATCCGGAATAATTTCATTCAAATCTGTCTTTGGGCTGTTACTTACTTCTGTTTCTCCTGTTTGTACTGCTGCGTGCACTCATCGAATAGTTTCTGGTTCATCTCCATGAATAGTTTGAGCGCGTTGTACACCAGCCCGTGAATGGTTTTGTTCCAGTGGCTCTTCGTATTGCGGTACAGTGAGGGAAACATTATCGGCAGTATGTGCGTCGCGTTGTCGGATATTAGGGACATTATGTACTCGTTGTTCCAGTAGTAGAGGGCGCGTTCCGCCACCTAAAGAATTTCAGATTTATTTTAATTAAACTGCTTGTTTCATAAATGAGACGGTCAGCGCAAAAGTAGCCTAATCCTCAATTATTCATATTCTGATTAAGCGGCTTAGGCCACTTATGAGGTTTACGTTGAGGGAAAAAAAATCAATGCAAAAATAACTTTTTGCAACACCATCTATTGACGCCTAAATTGAATGACGATTTTGAAATAAATTTTAACACATTTTTAATTAATTGTAGATGATGAATAATTGTGGGTTTGGCTACTTTTGCGCTGACAACCTCAAATGTAAACAAAATAAATAGCCGGATAGCGGCAGGCGCTGGTTCAATTCCATCCATTGGACCGAGTAGATTTATTTCTAGAAAAAAAAACTTTAAACAGTTTCAATAATTCCTGTTAAGATTTTTGTATAGTCTGTTCTTTATCCGCTTCATTACGAAACGTAGACTAACACTTTTGTTTGCTAAAAAGTAGACAGCCACAACATAAGGTTTAAACCAAGACTAACTTTAAATAAATAAATATTTCCAACACTCACACCAATTAGCCTAGCCCTATACTAGGGTAACGGATAGAATACATATACTGTACAAATATAAGTATATTTTTATAGAAATACATATAAAACATTAATGACTGGAGTACAAATGCTCGTATTAATCACACAAACATCTGCCCCCACCGGGATTTGAACCGGGACCTCTTGAATCGGCGACACCATGAAACCCGGCGTACAAACCACTCGGCCACTGAGGTCGTCTTTAGTCCACGTTTTGGAATAAGGCGGTATTATTTACAATAACTTTTGGGACTCGACTTGATGAAATGAAAAGAATAGAGACAATTTCTGTGACATTCAACATTTGTATGTATTTCACAGTGGCATTTATATTACAGAACAGATCTGCGGAAAAGTGACAAAGCATAACAATTCTTAAAAAGGTTTGTAATGAGGAATCAAACGAACACATTAATATACACACTACTGAAGTACTTTCGTACTAGTATTGTAAGACTTATGAACCGATGACGACGCTGTTTGAATTTGGGTTCAATCAGTGTAAGTTTTCGAGAATTCTCGTCGCTTATTGAGTACTGGGCACAGAGCGAAAGAAAAACAACAACTTGTTAATTTGTCCGAACAGGCCCAGTTTATCGTTGGAAAAGGTAATATCAAGCCAAATATTAACACACTTGACAGCGGTAACTTTTAACAATAGTTTTCCGACTACAATGGAGACTAGTTCAATGCCAAATATGTCGTAATTAAATAAGATGTAATACCACTAACAGGTGACATAGTGATCCGAAAATGTGTCTTTCTGAATCTACAGATAAATATGTATGAAGTTTTGTAAACAACCATGCCATATTCTGACTAATATTATAAATGCGAAAGCTAGTTTGGCTGTTTATTTGTTACTCCACCACGCGAAAACTACTGAACGCTTTTGGATGAAACTTGGTACGCATATAGCTTATGAGCTGGGCTGAGACATAGGATATTTTATATCCCAGAAATAATGTTGATTCCTATGGTGTGTTTAATTTTAACGCAACCGAAGTCCCGGGCGGTCACTAGTTTATGCATAAAGGGTACTAAAGAAGTCCTAAATATGAGAGGTTAACATTTATCGTCTACAAAGAAACCTTCAGAAAGAATAAAAGGCCAAATGATGTTTGTCGTTCAAACAAATTGGTCAATATCGTAACAAAGTTTCTGGCATGGCGCCCGCTCGAGCGCGCGAGACTCGACGCAAACATCTCGCCGATATTATTGTTACTATGAAACTCGATACGTGAGCTCGTGTTTGCTTCCTACGGTTGATTAGTCCCGTTTCGTATGAGTAACTAATAATAATGCTCATTTATTTCTTCATGTAAGTACACATTTATATCGAGATCGATACACCTTTTGCTTTTCTAAAATCTGAAAGCAGGTGCTTCCAATATGATTACCTGTTGTACAAAACTTGCAAATTTTAGCAATGAGTTTTGAACTTTACGACAACCTGTATACAGTCCATTGTTTAGGGGTTGAATACGAAATCATTGGGAAGATAATGTAAATCAGCATATAAAACAATCTCCTTGACTTTATATGTAAATCAAAATTGTGGTGGGAAATATAGTGGATTACAAATAGCTCTCGAAACTAAGATTGGATATAATGGTAAAATGGGAAAATTCATTGACTAGTCCGATGATGTTGTGCTTAGCAGAGTCTGTCGGTGATTGTAGAAGTTAAGGTAGTTTCCCAACGCCCGCTAATCGGAGTGGTGACCAAACATTCATTATTTTGAAATTCTCTGTGCATTCACCGATCCGCATGAGAGCTGCGTTATTTGATTCTGTCTGTCTGTCTGTTTAAACTTCTGTATCTTCAAAGCGAGAGTAAACCGGCATTTACTTCCTGTACATGTTCCATCTTACATTCTTACTTTTTACCAGGCAAAATTGGAGACAAACTCACAAACAGTTACCAATAAAAAGGACAGCTTGCCAACCCTCCAACATCTATTAGTCGTAAAAGAACTTTCAAAACATTATTGGGTAGAATTGTGGGTTACCTACAATGCGAAGAAATGGCGTTGCCTTGCAGCCTAAGAAAGGCCAGAGAAAATTCGACACTGCCATCAGGACCGCGGTAGCATAATGGTCAGTGCATTCGCACGGATAGCGAAAGGTGCGAGTTGAAGTCCCGTTTGCTGCCTGGTCCGCCTGTTTTTTTTTTCGGAAAATTTCCTTTAGAACGGTGAACCTAAAAATTTGAAAGAAAGGCAGAAAAATATTTGGATACGAAAGTCTGACCTGAAAATGTGGACTGGAGACGCACTTCGCCAGTTGTCTGAACAGCGGGTCCATTATCTTCTGGAACTCGGCTGGTTCTATCACGTCTAAGATTTCTTCCATTTCATTTAAAAACATCACCTCCTTGGGCGAATGTGTCTTCGGCCAGTATTTTAATAATGCTCTGTGGATAAATAGAGGAGTTTGTATATTAATTCGATTTTGATATTTGTTTATTAATTCGCTGTAGCATAGCTAGATACTATCCGCCTAATTACAAAACTTGACTAAAGTTACACCATACCAAATATCGATATGCGTCAAATGTCAAGAAGGTTTGAATGGAAGATATTCAATTCTTCCATACAAAAGTATTCAATTCAATATTTGAATTTGATATTGGTTCGTGCTAAGGGTCTAAAATTGACGCATCCTTCCTTGTTTGCTAAATAGAAAACAGAGATAACATATGTTAAACCAAGTCTATCTTTGGTCCACGTTTTAGAGTAAGGCGGATAGAGAATGAACTGAGCCTTCCCTGTCCAATTAAGTTAAACTTGAGAGAAAGGAAGATAATGCGGTCAATAGTGCGTATTGTCACAAACGCTCTTGAAACAAAACCGCGAAAATACTGGAAACAGATTTTACCAGAATACCGCCGGTTGCTCCTTCTAATATGAGCCTTATGCAGTGCGGCGTAAGGAAGAAAAGTTAATATTAAATCTCATTGTTGCATTGTTTGTTCTTCATTATTACATAGTTTTAAACGGTATGGCAGATGGTGTTAATTATTTACAATACAATCAAATTTTAAAATATGATTGAACTTCAGATGACTTCAGAAACAAACTAAATACCACCGTGACAACAGTTACGCCATCTATCGACGACTGAAAACTACCAAATATTTTTTCATTAAATTGAGTTTTTACAGTTGTGTTTTTCAAGCATTTAACTGCCATCGACCATCAGGGCCGCGGTAGCATAATTGGTCAGGGTTTTTTTCTAGTAAAACTTTTCTTGAGTTTTTATTTTGAGTAGGTACATTTTATCACGGTAGGGAGATTGGTAGTTGAAAGTAGATTACACCTTGCTAAAGTGAGTTATTAATGAACGAGTGTTATGTTGGTGCGATAGCACATACAATTTATAAATAAAAAGCATACCTAACTACGGGTTGCGTGAGCGAGGGGTCCTTCTCTAGGAACTGCACCACGCAGTAGGCCAGCTGCGGATGGTATACCGACAACGATTTGGCCTTGTGCAGCGGCAATAATACCTGCAAAACAGTGGCTTATATATAATATGCAAAGAAAATGAAAATCCTATAAATAAATATTTCCAACAATCACACCAATTAGCCAAGCCCAAAGCAAGCACTGTAGGCTTGTGTTATGGGATGCTAGGGTAACGTTTTTATAGAAATTCATATTAAACATCCATGACTGGAGTACAAATGCCCGGATTCATCACACAAACATCTGCCCCCACCGGGATTCGAACCCGCGACCTCTCGAGTTAGCGACACCATGAAACCCGGCGTACAAACCACTCGGCCATGGAGGTCGTCAGATATAAAAACATAGAGCAACGCGGCCAGGAGGGGAGTAGCCATTCACTGCGTTCCCCTCTGTAGATTTCCCCCACTGTTGGGCCAGCTCAATAACAAAACTAGTTTCGGTCGGATATTTCACTAGACTGACTCAAGTCGCAAGAATGTAAGTCAGAGCACAAAAAATTCCAAATTGTTCTGTAATTTGCTATAAAAACACAACATCAAACTTAAAAAAGAATGGTATAACATTTCATATGTAAGTAGAATTATTAACATATTATTCATATGTAATCAATGTTAAACAGAAATAAATATTATTTCATACAAATTCAATAAAAAATCTAAAGTTTCATCTATGCACGATTTAGCGTTGTAATTTTTTATGTGTGTGTCATAATTACAATTTCATTTTTTGTGAAAGTATGTTAGACTATCCATATATATATGTGCATATTTCTCCCCCCGCAAAAAGTAGCAGAATGATTTCAGTAGTATTGTGTCACTATGGCTTCTCCCCTCCTGGCTGCTTCGGTCGAATTGCTTTATATATTAAAATTTGTAAATTACCATAGTTTTTCAGGAATGGTAAAAATCTAAAGTTATGGATCGCTAAAAAGGATGATAAATGAATTTGATTTGGTGAAAAAAACTATGAAGAACGGAAACATGTTACAGTATATTTACAATGTACATTTATCAAGCTCTTTTTATAATTTTTCATGTTTCATATTTCTATTGTTATTTATCAGCAACTGATTCACTTGCTCTTGATAGTTAAAAATCTTATGTATTTTGCAATGAAGCATTCGTAGTTCGGGTATAATTTGACAGTAACAGCTGTCTTATTCTGTTAGCCAAAAGATCGATATTCGAAGTGTTTTTTCTAAATTAAGTTTTCATGACTTTGATTGTATCTGTTACACGACGGTTTTCACTCTTTGTCACAGGACAGCGTTTTATGTTCCATGTATTCTGTAATTATTAGGCTAATTCATAAGGTTAAATTTACGATGACACTCATATATTTTACCCTAAGTAAAAACAGTTTGTGTTCCTCTTTAAGGGGCAACGCGAACCCGTTGATGATGGAGCCGAGAATCTCGAGCAGTTCCGCGATGCCATTGTGGTGTTCTGTCTCGTAGATAAACCTGAGGGAAAATAAATTATTGAAAGATGTACTTTTTAAAATATAGTTTCTCTTCATTTGACCTCGGATATGACAAAGATAGATAGGCAATTAATGTTGTTGTTAGACTTTAGGTTCATAAGGGATAAAATTGAACTGACAAAAATGACAATTCATTTGGAGTCCTTGTTCTACCAAAAAGGATGGTGAGATCCTGTATTAATGTTTTGTATTGGTTTTATATTAGTGGTTTCTATTTAGCTGGGTTTGCACAAACAAAGTATGCTCGTACAGGGTGCACACACGGCGTCCGATCTGTGTAGTTAAGAAATCGCTCTTATAGGAGTAGTAAAATAAACGGTAGCTTATACGTGGGTAATTGGCCAGTTAGAAACATTGCTAATGAAAACTCTTTTTGAATTACAATTTCAAAACTCTTTGGTAAGCTAATGTTACCAAAAAGTTAATTTATGAGTTCATTTTTATTGCATTCATTTGTTTTTGTGAATTGGTGACAAATCTAAAACTTTTGTTACACGTGAAAAAAAACGCGAGAAAATTTTCGGTCAATTATTTATTATGACTTTCGTTGTGGGCTTACTTAACAACAAAGCTATGATAGGCTGCGATTAGCATTTCTTAATGATACCCCATCTTGTGCCACTATTTACAATTGGTTTAACGACTTTAAGCGCAGACGTAGCGATCTCAATCATGATCCGCGTGAGGGACGTCTTTTAACAGCGACTTCTGTAGATAACATCAGTGCTGTGCGACGCATGATAGAGGAAGATAAGAGAGTGACCTATCAGCAGATACGGGCAAGCCTAGGCATTGGTATGAGTCAAGTTCAAAAAATATTACAGGAACGTTTAGGCGTCAGCTTTGTACTTTGGCAATCAGCTCAGTGGGTTTTTCCTTTCGAGGATCGGCCAACTAAGGTAAAGAAGGGAAGAAGTCAAGGAAAAAGATGATTGCCTCATTCTTTGGTCGGAAAGGTCATTTCGCGACAGTTGTGATAGAAGATGGAAGGACAGTTACTGCAGACTGGTATGTCAATCGCTGTTTGTCTGTTGTCTTGGAAAAAAATCGACAGCAGCGCCCTCGAAGCAGGAACCCCCTTCACCACGACAATGCTTCAGCGCACTCCGCAAACGGACTGTTGAATATTTGACTATGACAGGTGTCGAGATCATGAGTCATCCGCCATACAGTCCTGACCTGGCGCCCTGCGACTTTCATTTATTCCCAACAACTCAAGATAAAATTCGAGGCATTCGCTTTACGAACCCTGAAGATGTGGTGAAAGCATACGAAAATGCCATAGAAGAGACCCCTAAGGAAGAATGGGCCCACTGCTTTTCTCAGTGGTTCCATCGAATGCAACGATGTGTAGAGAGGAACGGAGTTTACTTCGAAAAACAATAAAAATATTGGTAACTTTCTACATTAAGCCGTTTTTCATTTTCTAAACATATTCAGTGTTACTTAGGTAACATTTCACAAAGCATATCGCAAGTTGTATAACAGTGATGCGAGTTTTATGCTGTATGCTTATTGACAATTAATCTACGTAGACCAAGAACTTGATAAAGTAAATAAAAACATGAAAACCCACAACCAGCTGTACCATTATGTCTATTATTTAACGTCATAATTAAGAAACGATCTGCGACACGTTCGTGTTTGGTGCTTAAGCAAATTACACCATTGTAGTAACAAAGTTAACTATGGGAAAACTATTGTTGTCTACGACCGATTAAACTATTTTAATATCTAGCTTAGAGGATTTGTTTTTAGGGTTCCGTAGTCCTGACAAGGAACCCTTATAGTTTCCTCATGACCGGCCCCGGTTTTCCTTGAAGACTGTTAGTACTAGAGAACTGTAATTTTGTCGAGATATGTATATCAATCATGCCGACAAAATGGTAGATAATATTTTAAAAATATATTTTTTAGTGTACTTCCCCTACATGTGACCTGGATATGATTTAATTTTTTTAGTGTCAACCCCATCGAGTGATGTATTGTTGAATAGGTCCTTTAAAATAACTTTAGGGTTCCGAACACTATTTTTCGATTTAGGGAGCCGTTTGCGAAATTTTAACTTTAAAGTGATAATTTTGTTCGTGTAGCCCCCCCCACCCCGTTCCCTCTAAAGGCTAAACTATTGGCTTGAAAAACCTGGAAAAATTCATGATAATAGTGCTTTTCATGGAGAGAGAAGAGGAAAATTATAACGGTTAAAATAGATTTGTTTATTTATGCGTAATAGTCGTTCAACTTACGCATTCGAAAATTTCTGACCTAATAAAAATTCTATAGTTAAAAAACATTAAAAGTGACTTAGATGAAGTATTTACTTAAAATATTGACTCTTTCCAAAATATATTGTGGTAACGACGAGCAACTACGAAACCCTAACTGCGCGTGGCACGACACGCACTTGGCCGGTTTTTTTTTAATATTATTCTCACACTTCTATTGACAATTTTAGTTGTAGTTGTGCTAAGTGCAAATTACTATTTTTGAGTTACATTTATGAAGCTACAACAAAATATAAACACAAAACAACAAGTTCATAATGGTCCTTCGATCCGGATATTACTTATTATTGACTAGTACTGTTTGCAAGTAAATCGATCAAATTCTCTACTGACTTTGAGCTTCATGTTGCTTGATGTACGATCCGCAATGTAATGAGAACAATTTTACAGTTTGTGGTAACGAATTGTTGCCATCCATTCACCTTAATACTGATAAAAATATAAGTAAAGAATAGACAGCTTAGATAGGTTGCGCTTGCGGTTGATAGGGAAGCTCGATGACGCGGGTGGTTAGCGAGTTCGGATGCGATCGTTGAAGTTAAGCAACTTTCGCAGTAGTCGGTCATTGTATGGGTGACCAAAAATCTTCTATCTCGTGTTCTTCCGCGCTTCGGAAGGCACGTTAAGCCGTTGGTCCCGGCTGCATCTACAGTCGCTTGGACCCGCCAATCCGCACTGGACCCACCAATCCGCACTGGGCCCGCGTGGTGGGTCATGGCCCAATCTCCCTGTTCCATCCATTGGGAAGGCCTATGCCCTAGCAGTGAGGACATTAATAGGCTGATGATGATGATAAGTTACCAAAGGATGGGAACCTACCAAAGTTGTATACCATAGCATGATGTACTGAGGAATATGTAATTATATTATTCTCAATAACTTATTGTTGTTAAAATCATGCAAATGATTTTATTTTAAACGTGGTTCATGCTCGCTTGACGTAAACAATTATTTTTAATAAAAGTTTACAAAAAAATATGCTTTATAACTTTCAATTTAAGTACCCACCAGATGAAAATCAAAAGTTTGATATTAGCAAAACAAACACAGTACAATGATAAAGAAACTTTTACAAGCTTGGAGGAATTAAGAAACAATTTCTTTTATGCCTCGATTCTATTGAATAAAAAGTATAACAAACACAAAACAGGAACGGTTTAAAGACTTAAAATAATTGTGAATGAATAAATATAATGCAAATTATTTTCGATTCAGTGCTTGCTTTAATTACTTCTAACACTTATCATAAATAAATAAATATTTCCTACACTTACAACAATTAGCCTAGCCCCAAAGTAAGCACTGTAAGGCTTGTGTTATGGGGTACTAGGGTAACGGATAGAACACACACATATGATACATATATAAGTTTATTTTTGTATAGAAATATATATGAACAATCATTATCAAGACTCCAAGGCTACAAATGCTCGTATTCGTGTCATAAGTTGAAATATTTTAATTCAAACATCCACCAACCTTTTCTATATAAATTCTAAAATCGGGGGTGCAAATCGTATTTAGCAGGGGTTTAAAAATAAGTTCTACCACACCTTCGCTGGCTCAGCTAGCCTAGGGCCTCCACACCTCTAAATGCGGCCCTTTTTTTTGTGACGCAGGCAAAAACTCTGTTTACAGACGACGGCGCCTTTAAGAGGCACACCGCCGAACGGACCTCACACCTGGCTCCCGCAAACCTTACGAGTCCCCACAATGGCTGGCCACTGAGGACCCCCTAACTCTTACGGGCGCTTTAAGGCATAATATCCGCTAAAAACCCTGCGTATACCCTCTAAGCTGCTTAGTGCGAAACCGCGGGCTCCCCGTTTAGGGAACCTCTAAATCCGGCCCTGGGTACTCTGTCTATCTTTACATCCTATATCTATGTTCCTAATAGTATCTCACCTATAGAATACATTGTTGATTTGTTTCCGTATGTAGGCACGCAATACGAGGAACTTCCCGTATATCCTGTGTAGAGTTGTCTTCAAGAAGTCGCGCTCACGGGGATCTTCCGAATCGAATAACTCTAGTAACTAGAACAAAATTAAACACAATATTACTCAATCTGAAATTCAATTAACAAGCAACTTAAAATTGTTTGGAATACAAACTCCTCTTAATATTTTGTAGTTATAATAACAATAAAACATAGGGAGAAGATCGACGGTGTAGATAGTTAGTGCATTCAACCTGCGATCTTGAAAGTTAAGCAACTTTGCCAATGGTCAGTTATTGGATGGTGACCAAAAAGTTATTATCCCAAACTCCTACGTCCTTCGGAAGACACGTTAAACCATCGGTTTTGGCTGCATCTGCAGTCGTTAGCACCCACCAATACGCACTGCGCCTGTGTGGTGGGTGCTAAAAAACCATACATAGGGAAGTCCTGTGCCCCTGCAATGGGGACATGCAATAGTTAGTGATGGTTATAAGAAATATAAGTATAACAACCGGTTTTAAAATCCGGCTTAGGATTTTGTTCCGTGCACTGATTGTCAAATAAATAGTACAATACAGTTCAAGCTATTAAAAACTTTCTCCAACCGATTTAAAGCTTTATCTAGCTGTAAATAAAATAGATATTCGATTGAGAAAACTTTTCATTACGGGCAACTAAAAGTGTTGCTGAGTGTACAAGCTAACAGAACAATTTCCATAATGGTGTTTAGGAATTTACAGCCATGGGCAGCCTTTCAAATGTATCAGGTGCTTTTACAGTGATGGGTGTGTCAAACAACATCATTACAGCCAACCGCATTATGACCTCATAGGGCTGGCAACAGTTATAGAATAAATAATAAAAATAAATAAATATTTCCAACACTCACACCAATTAGCCTAGCCCCAAAGTAAGCATTGTAAGGCTTGTGTTATGGGATGCTAGGGTTACGGATAGAATAAGTAATATACTGTATTTAAATAAGTATACATAGTTTATATAGAAATACATATTAAACTTCCATGACTGGAGTAAAAATGCTCGTATTCATCACACAAACATCTGCCCCCGCCGGCATTCGAACCCCGGGACCTCTCGATTCGGCGACACCATGAAACCTGGCGTATAAACCACTCGGTCACGAAGGATACAAAATCTTGAAATAACGAGCCAAGACTAAATTGAAATGTTAAAAACCACGCGGAAAAAGTAAATCAATAAAAATGGATAAACAAACAAGGAAATATTGTTGAAATTAAATATCATAGTAAAACATTGCCAGTAATATAATTTGTCTAATATTATATTATCAGTTATCGATATTTAAATCACAAATTAACAACTCGATATTGGTTTATAAAATTGTTAATTTTAAGCAATTATCTGCTAGATTTATAGATGACTGGACCGCGTGGATTTTTTTCTAGTAAAAAATTGGTGTGGTTTTTTAAACCACGACGCAAGTGAAAATGTTAAATACGTGTTCTTTTGTAAATAATTTTACGTATTTTCATAGGGACTCATACGTATTCTTATAAAAGTACTTAAAATATATACAATTAAAATTCAATGTGGTTCGTTTGTTACGCTACAACTCGAGAATGGCTGGGCCGATTTAGCTGATTTTGGTTTTGAAATGTTTCTCGTAGTCGAAGGTTTAAACGGTGAGAAATTATGGAAAAATTGCGAGGACGATAGTAAAAACAATAATTTCATTTTCCCATATAAACCGTTCAACCAACTTTCCCGTCAAACATTTGAGGTTCGTCCCTTCGGTACGGTAGACTCGGGTCCACTCGATAATAACCACATTCGATCGACTGTTAAGCGGCACGAAGCCGGGTCAACTGTAATTAATAAACAAATGTTCTTCCTTGGCTGGGAATCGAACCCTGGCCGCCTGGTTACAAAACTGAGCTTTCTTACGCTGAATCATTGAAGCTTGTTGATGATTTTTTCAATATTAATTCAAAATGTAACGACATGCTCAGATATGCAATAAGTTTCACAAAAAATCTTTTAAATATACAACTCGTTAATACCTATATCCATGTGATGAATGAATATGATTATTGAATTATAAATCAGCATAAAAGTAGCAGCCATAACCACGTTACAAATCAAAAAGACATTAATCGTATCGCGACAGGTTTGCCTTCTATAATTCACACGTACGGTACGGTACGGTCAAGGGCGTGTCTTTAGCGTGTAATGCTTCCATCTTAAGGCGCATTTACACTTGGTCGCACCCGATGCAATATTTACATTGTTTTTACTTATCACGAACTGGAAGAAAGCTGTTCGAATAAGGCGTACTCGACTGCATTCATTTACATTAAGTCGTTTGTCCGAATTCCATAGGCAATCGTTTTCGGGCTAAGTGTAACTGCGCCATTAGTTATTCTGTGAATTGCGTCGCTGGTATGTATAGTATTACCAAAGATGACTTTTATGAAATGCTCTTTACGCTTCAAATCTCGCAAACATCGAAGTGAAAATTTCAGGATTCTATGGTGTTAAGGAGCATTTTCAAGATCTGTTAGTTAAGTAGACAACATTTCACCAATTTGACAGTTGTTCACCTATTTTCTGCGTTATCCATCGATAGCCAAAACTATAATGTACGAAAAAGTTTGAACGGACAACAAATGAAAATTTGTCATGTTTCATCTGAGTGTGGAAAGTGGGTTTTAAAAACATAAAGGACTCTTAAATATCAACAGCGCCCCAATAGCATGAGCACCGCGATATGATTATATAGCTCGTTTTTGCCACGCTCAATTGGCAAATTACTTAAGAATTTGACAGTTAGACGCGATAAAAACGTGATAAACAATGTAAATTGTGCTACTCATCCCCTCTAGCATGAACACCGAAACGGGATATGATAAAGCGATATATCGGCATTAACTGTCAGACTACTATGGAGTTTGACAGTAGTCTGACAGTTAATGACGATATATCGCTTTATCATATCCCGTTTCGGTGGTCATGCTAGAGGGGCTGCTACGGGGACTGATTTGTATAAAATGCTCTATGTAAATCATATTGTAACTGTTGATATACAGAAAATATTGGTATGGAAATGAAATATAAGCTTTCAGTTATAACCTGTATACAGGTGTGTTAATAGGCATATATGGCTGTGTAAGACCCATTGGGTATGCGTAGCGCGTAACATTTGTACTTATCCACAAACTTTTCCAATATCCGTCTGTACTAGAGAAATAAAATAAAAAAAAGGATTCATAAACTGCTTTAGTGGCTACTTAAACGAGTAATAGTTTTGTAGTGGAGTTTGTTGTTCAATGTCAAAGTGGACGTATGTATGGAAATATAATGAATGCATTTACATAATATACCTACAACATTTACGAGAAATCATTACTATTAATATTTACGTATTCTTTTGTAAATAATGTTAGCATAGATTAGAAACTCAAACCTATTTTCATAGGGACTCATACGGATTCTTCCAAAGGTACCTAACTAATTGAAATAGGTTTTGGATTTTCTATTATTAGTTGAAGTACTAAAGATCAGGGGAACTGTAAATATACATAAAGGACAATGGGCAAAACGCACCCAGCTCCGCCAACAATGTAATTAGTATAAATCGATAGATCTATGAAAAACTAGCCTTTTTTTATTATGACACCGTAAACAAATATCCTTATAGTCAAAAGATATGACAAATTGGCATATTAAATATGCCCATGTAAAGTGAATTCACTTTATAGTTAGTGCCTTCATTTTATAATATTAGTAACCATAATAATATGCCATATCGTACTATACAACCAGATATATGACAACGCCTGCCGACCATCCTGCGCTTGCACTTACTGAACCACCTCAAAACGGTTTACGGGGGTTGAAGGACTTGCAGTTGCAAATACTCCACTCGTCTTACTTCGTTGTGATTGTGCGCTCCCTGTCACTTGATTGATTTTTATCTAACACGCTTTGTACATTGGAACACGATTATCGGTTTTGTCCAATAGTATGGATGAACTGGAATTACGTTTTCTTCGAAGAGTGGACAAGTTTGTGTGATTTGTGGTCGCTCCGTACTATTACGAACAGACTGTTTGAAAAAAACCCAACCCATGCGGGGATTTTTGGATTTACTCTAACGCGGCAGAATAACACAAGATGGCACCCTTGCACCTTGTGGAGTACTCCCATAATACCTGAGCCCTCTATGTAGGGTCGAACTAACTAAATTAATTCCCTTATTTTATTAATGTTCGTTCGTTATAGGTATGTATTAACTTGTTCTTATTTAACTATAAATAACTAAAGACCCCCGGGATGGAATTTGATGCGCTTTGTCACATATGATCATGACTATAATACCTTTCAAATAAATGTAGTTTAAGCCGTGGCGGACGTGGGTGCAGCGTCCATACATTTTTGCCTAATGTCCTTTAGTTACTTTGTGTCAGATTACACCCAAATATATAAAAAAAAAATCGATTTTTAAGGTTCTCTCCCATAGGCGCCTTATTATACTGTACTAGCGGCCGCCCACGACTTCGTCGTGTGATAATATGTAGCCTATATGTTGACCCGACTTCTTAATAATATTCGTGACAAAAAAGTAAATCCATGCAGTACTTTTTGAGTTTATCCCGGACATACTCGTACATACAGACATATAGACAAAAATTCTAAACTATATTTTTGGCTTCGGTATCGATTGTAGATCACACCCCAAGTATTCTTTGAAAAAATATTCAATGTACAGTTATGACCTTCCTACCATTTTATTATAAGTATAGATAACTAGCTGACCCAGCGAACTTCGTATCGCCATAAAAATATGGGTGGTAGAGGGGTGAAAATTAAGGGTTGTTTGTGTTTTAATATAACGATACATATTTAACGTAGTTTTTTTTTTCAGACGATTTAATAATTATTTTGAACGTTATTGTGATTAAACCATGATTGCTAGATATATGTTCTCCCGGACTTTTTTGTAGGTCTTAATGGGATCTACAAACCCGTAGTACATCATTTTGTTCTTTGTCAATAGTTTTTGCAGCGCACGCAAAAATAGGTTTTCGATTTTACACCTTGTGTTACAAAATAGCAATTTTATTACGGATCCCTAATTAAATATATATATATATATATATAGCCTATAGCCTTCCTCGATAAATGGACTACCCAACACTGAAAGAATCATTCAAATCGGACCAGTAGTTCCACAGATTAGCGCGTTCAAACAAACAAACAAACTCTGCAGCTTTATAATATTAATAGTATAGATTATAAAAGGCAATCGATACCGACTGATCTATCAACGCACAGCTCAAACCACTGTACGGATCGCACTGAAAGGCACACATATAGCTATTGCGATGTAGGAGCCCGCTAAGAAAGGATTTTCCAAAAAATCACTTCCTAAAGGGGTAAAACGGGGCTTCAAAGTTAGTACGGGAAACTAATATTTCCAAGCAGACGAGGTCGCGGGCACCCCTTAGTCGGTCGATAATACCAAATGCATTATTGCGATATCTGTTTTTAGTACATTATGTATTTGGGCGGCTTCAAAGTTACACACTGCTGAGATAATAACGACGTAATATAATAATAAATATTTCCAACACACACCGATTAGCCTAGCCCCAAAGAAAGCACTATAAGGCTTGTGTTATGGGATACTAGTGTAACGTATAGAATACATATACTGTACATATATAAGTACATTTTTATACAAATACATATTAAACATCCATGACTGGAGTACAAATCGTATTCATCACACAAAGATCTGCCCCTATCGAGATTTGAACCAGGGACCTCTCGAGTCGGCGTCACCATGAAACCCGGCGTACAAACCACTCGGCCATGGAGGTCGTCAAATAATAATGTTTTATTGCCTCCAAACTATGATCACATACAACTATCAAAGCATAAGTATAGGAAAAATAACAAGTATGTATCTCAAAATAACATTTAGTGGAGGCAAGAGGACAAGGCTTAGTGTAAGCGAAGCCAAGGTATACCCTGGTCCGTGCTGGTTTTCAGGCTCAACCTTTTTCCCATGATATTATGCGGGACACTGCTAATAATAAAGAACTGCCAACTATTTCACAAAAAACCTACATGTTTACAATCTAAATAGATAAGGCAATCCTCTTATATCTAAGTGTGAAATTTGCAAGCTGGAGTGTTATATGTGTGTGTGGTGACTAACTGTATATTGTGTAGGTAAATGCGTTGTATTGATGTAAATTTTAGGAAATTGGGAAGGTTAGGCCAGGTGGAAAAACCCATTTAAAGGCAAATCTTTCCAGTGTGAGTGTCTCAAGTCCTCCGTATATGAGTAGGACGCTTGCGTTTCTCCGTCCTGTGATATTCCGATATAAGATCTTAGAACATTTGTTTGGAACGCAAGCGATCCCTCAAGATTGCTTAAATCGGTAATAGCGAAGTAAATTCAGTTTTATATATAAAGTTGATGTGTTACATACTCAAAAATATTAATTTAATGACAGGAAACTACTTATTTTAATGAGCGAAATCTTATTTATTCAGCAGAAGATCACTCGACTAGAACAACGTTAGTTTTCTGCTAATTTGCGAATTCATAGTTGTTGTCAAAATAATTAAGTTGATTAACTTATCCCCAAGAAGATAAATATAAAGATTAGATTAAGTAATATAAAAACGAAATGCCACAAATAGTCAATCAACAATAATGGATAAGTTACAGTTAATTTCGTTACAAAGGCAAATCTGTTATTTCATCAGTTACTACACTGATAGAAAGACGCCTGTATACGCCCGTTTTTTGGACTTATCCAGGGCGTTCGATCTGGTTGACTACAGTATTCTGTGGGATAAATTAAAGGGGTGTGGTTTACCCTCAGACTTAATATCTTTGTTCATGTTCTGGTACGGGAACCAGGCCAATTGTGTGAAATGGGCTGGTGTTCATTCGGAGGAGTACAGGTTAGAATGTGGGGTTAGGCAGGGGGGAAGAACTTCACCGAAATTATTTAATCTGTACATCAACTCGCTGATTGAGGAGCTTAGCGGTACACGTGTCGGCTGTCACGTAGGGAGTGTTTGCGTAAATAATATCAGTTACGCGGATGATATGGTGTTGCTGGCTCCTTCGATCAGTGCTTTGAGGATGCTTTTAAACATTTGTGAAACCTATTCAACCAATCATGGTTTATCTTATAATACCAGTAAAAGTGTATATATGACTTTTAAGGCTCACGGAAGGACTCCTGAAACCGTGCCCTCTGTAAAACTATATGGATCTGATCTCCGTAGAGTTACGCAATTTAAGTAGGTCATATTGTTACAGATACTTTAAAGGATGACGCTGACCTTGAAAGGGAGCGAAGGGCACTGTCTAAGAGGAAAATATGTTGGCCCGTAGGTTTGCTCGATGTTCTGACACTGTAAAAATCACTCTTTTTAAGGCTTTTTGTACATCTTTCTACTCGAGCAGCCTATGGGTTAATTTTACCCGAAAATCATATGATGTCCTCCGTGTCCAATACAATAATGCCTTCAGGGCACTGCTGCGGCTGCCGCGATATTGTAGTGCTTCGGGAATGTTCGCAGATGCGCAGGTCGACAGTTTCCCGGCTCGTTTGCGCAAAAAAGCAGGTTCGTGGTAGCCGCAGTAGAGTTGTGAGGGATTTAGTGGCTCGTGGGGACTGTCCACTGATAAATATTTTTGTAAATAGGGTTATATCTGTCTTTAATATAATTTTCTAACATTGTATTAAGTATTGTATACTAACACATGGATCTATGTTGTCCGAATAATAAATGATTTGAATTTGAATTAGTGAAATGCTGCGTAATAGCCAACTGCGTGTCCGTCCATGCTACAAACATAAACAGATTAAAGGACACAAAACATGTTTCATGAATTTTGCAAATTCCCTTATAAGAAACTAAGGGGAGTTATGGATGCGAAATTTTGGATCAGGATATGGATATGGACATATCAATAGCCTTTTGCAATTTGTCAGCCCATCTGTGTAAACTATGTCCGTTGGAAAGCCATGTGGTGCAGACTATAATTTTCTTGCGCTCCTAGTTTAGCAAAGAAGAATATTGTAAACAGCATGCAGGTTGCTGTGCAATCTTTGCCGCAGATGTTTGCTATTGGCTGTTTGATTGCAATCATATATGTGTATATAGAGTAGGAGTTCCCTAACCAACTGTTAAATAAAACTGGGCGAGTAAGTGTTAAGGACACGAAGCGATATAGTGGTCCGTAGTTCGTTTATGTATTGCTTTTGTCTCGTTTTCTAGTTATTAATTTTGGCCAGTACATTCTCTGTGGCGCAGCGCAAACCAAGAGAGGCACTTTTTTAATGTTTGCCATGAAATGTTAAACTAATGAGTGATATAGGAATTAATGTTTTAACTTAAATTTTGATCTTCTCAGTCTCGTCGCCGCACTCCTCCGCTTCGCCTTAGTGTTATTGGAATGTGTTGTTTTGCAAAAATAAAACGCCATTAAAGATTACAAACAAAACTCAATCAACTGACCTGTAACACGAACTTCTGGTCTATATACTTCTTGGCAATGTTGGGCTGGAAGTCCGGCGACTCCAGTAGCCTGAGGAACAGCTCGTACACCAGCTGCAGGTGCGGCCAAGCCGCCTCCAGCGTGGGCTCGTCCTCCTCAGGGTCGAACTCCGCGCCGTTCGGGTTCGACGAAGGCGGCAACGTCCGGAATAAATTTATCGCGAACTGTCGGCAAATGTTTTTCGATTCAATACAGAGATATGTGTAGGTTTTCCAATTTTTGTCAAATGTGTCAGTGACAAGATTAGCCAAGAGAAGTACAAGGGTGCCTAGATAGTGCCTTTGCGCAGCGGTTGGCTCGTCTTGTCGTTTTGGCGGGGGCACTACTGTGCCGCCAAATTATTCATTGGCTGAATGTTTATAGCCACATATTTTGACTAAGGCGTAAAGTTTTCGAAGTAAGGCGTGTAGAATTTAAAAGCTTTACTTTACATGACATCTGATAACTTTTTCACAGTGTAAGTCGTATGGTCTCGTGTTGGCAACACTTACATGAAAATGTTTTCGGTGGGATAAGAGTTTCAAAATCATTTCATAGGCTCGTCCTTCGCGAGGAAAAAAAGTCTGGCGAATTTTATTGACTCGTCTTTCTCTTTTCTATTTGTGTCCAACAATGGCGGGAATGTCCGTAATTGCCATTCCTGAAAACGTGTAAAGCGTTGCTTCTAAATTATGGTGGCCATTCAAATAATACTGGTAGACGAAAGCGATAGTTTATAAAAATAACAATGGCAATTTCGGACGTTTTCAGAAGAGATTTAATAGTTACACAACACAAGATGAAACGGAATTAATTTTATTTTAGCGGAGTTTTATTTGACGATTTGCTAGTATTTTCTGTAAGAGCTCTCGTGTTCAAATATTCAACCACTCGTTAACCAATTAAGTTGTTATACCAATTATAATTAACTTGCAATCAGTTACGGGAGTTAAATCATTAAGGTACAGTTGTTGTGAAGACTCTCTTTCAATTGGCACGTGCAATTTACTTACAGATAATGACATCAGCGAAGAATGGTCGAATTGTAACGAAACGCAAAGCGAAGGCATTGGATCGATTGTGACGTCCGACGGACAATTGTATTAAACACGATTATCACTGATAGCGCTGCGCAATATCGGAACAATTAAGCTCAGTCCAGAACTGTAACGTAATTTACTGATCGTTTTATACAGTACGAATGGATGGTAAATATATAGGAAAGGAAACGTTTATTGACGATAAATACATAAACACAACAAAGCAAAACAAGTGTGTTATGATAACCATGTGTGATGACCATTTAACATTTGATGGTAGATCTGCTCGTATGCCATAAAAGAATCACAGAATTTCAGAGATCTAGGGGTAGACCCGTGTGGTGCTCCATGGCCAATTTCCCTATAGGAAAGGCATATGTTCCGACAGTGGGGATATAAATAGGCTGATAATAATGAGTCGACTGGTCTACGAAATATATTGGCCCTTCAATGTTAAATGAGATATACTACATACTTGAGCACAAGGAGCGCTTCACCCCCTTTAATTAAAAGGTTTACACCAATTTAGACTGCTCTACTAAAGATTTGTACGGTCCTTGGGAATATGGCCTCCGTGATGACGCCGCGCCGGGACGTCACGTACTCGATCATCTCGAGTCGGACGGCGTATATCGCCTCCTTTCATTTGAGGTTTGACAGCATGTAGGTTTGTCTACTATCCAAACTGACGGCCTCCGGGTATATGTCCTCCGTGATAACTCCGCGCTCGGACTTGAGGTACTCTATTACCTCGAACAGTGCAGCGTGTATCACCTTCTTTCATTTGAGATCTAACAGAATGAAGACTGGTCTACTAACCATACTGACGGCCTCCGGGTATATGGCCTCCGTGATAACGCCGCGCTGCGATGTGACGTATTCAACCATCTCAAGCAGCGCGGCCCGCTTCACCTCCTTCCATTTAAGGTCTGACAGAGGTTCGTCCGCGAAGTCGAACAGTAAGCAACACTGCCGTAACTTCTGGACGAACAACTGTTCACGCTCTGCTGCCGGTGCATCTGTGGACAAAGCAGCAATTTAACATTTTCATAAGATGAATAAACAAATCCTCAACTTAATTAAATAGTAATACACTACGGTAAATTGGTACAAATTAAAATGTAACACTCCGAATCACGATCGAAATAATCATAACGAATCATCCAATGTGTATATATATAATTATTGCATCCCACTAAATTAATATTTCGTAATACACCACATTTTAAGTAATTCAGATAATTAATCTGAAACTCTCTTTTTAATATCAGTAGAGGATTTATCAAACAAGTTGTCGTCGGTCTTAGGTGCTAACCGCTTGTGCTGGATTTTTCTGATTTTCCTAATAGGTTAAATTCTATCACACTAATTAATTTATCGGGTCAGTATAGTATCCTGTATCTTCCCTGTCTACTAACGTAAAGGGACTGATTCTTCCGCAGCCCTTGGATTTATCTCTTTAGTATTATAAGCTCTAACATTAAATTTGATTTCTTGATAAAGAACAATATCAGAAAGTCAGATAGAATGTGAAGTGGGTCACGTGTTGGACTACTTAGAGTTATCGGTAAAATCGGTAGAGCACTAAGCTCCCTGCTCCCTCGGGAGTGCTGAAGAACGTGATTCGCTTTCCTCAACAGTAGGGGCATTAGTAAAAGCTTCTATTTATAATCAAAGTCATCACAATAACTTACTTCTTCTTTATATACATTGAATGTGATCGTTTCTAATTCTGTGTTATTAAATTTTTCAATATCATAATTTTTATTTAGTATGATTTGATCTGCGTTGGTTAGTCTTAGATTTCTGAAGAGTAGTGGTAAGCAAGCTGAGGGTGCTTAGTTAGTATACAGTTTTGTCTAATAAAGAAATAAAAGACATAATTCTAACCTGTTCAGCAGTCCGCATTTTTTAACACCGTTAGTTATACGAAGCAATTTGTTGTCGACAAAAACTTGAGTGCTCCTTGCCACCTGGGGAATAATCGTGAACGTATTGCCGTGTACTACAAATAAGCTAGCATTTCTATTTACTAAATGAATAGAAACTAGAACCTACCTTCTACCTTTATTAGCAAATGGAAATAAAGTTTCTCGATTCCAGAGTATACAGCTTTCTAATAGCTGTTCAGATCAGATGGAGACAACAATAGAAACTTTGTTTGTAAAATGTATTCGAGTATCGATGCAACCTTGACCGCTAACAGAGACATCACCATACTAGTTGGTTGGGTGTCAAATATGTCTAATATAACTATATTTGGTGCTAATACATTTAACTTTGTTAACATACACCCGCGAGTAACCGCCGAATATTGGATTAAGCTTCACATTTTAAAATTATATTTCACACGTTCAGATTTTGCTACAAAATTTGTGAATTTAACGTTTTTTAAAAGAACATTTATTAAAACAAAGTTCATGTTCATAGTACATGGAAGAGATAAATCCGATATTTCAAATCATATTCATAGCGTAGCGTAAATGGTAAAGAAAACTAATAAACATCTTCATATAGTTTACTGTTACAGATGCTAAAACAAGTGTTGATTTGGATGATGTCTGAGTATTTTACTCAATGTTTCTAAAAATAGTATCTTCTACGCTTTATAGTTCTTTTATTGTTTCATAGATACCTATACTTCAAGTCGTTGTTGGACAGTAATTCCATTCACGTCTTTGAAATACAGCGAGATAGGTAATAAAAAACTATTGAGACCTAACAGATGCATTATTTTATTTATACATTTATACTGTCTAAAATGTGTTTAATCATCAAGGATTGGCAATATTATTTTGAGGCAGCTACAGATTGAACATTAAGCGATAACTTGGCAGTTGTCCTAATCGATGAATTTTGTTAAACGATGTACTCTAATTAAGTCCCTAATGTTATAGTTTGCTAAATGAATAAGAGGCATATTACTGCAAGGCACAAGGACACCGCAGTTCATTTCCCATGGCATACATTCCGGCTAGAGCGGACGACCAGTGGCCGATGGGTCGATATATTTCTGCGGCGTTTTCGCCATTTCACGTCATACATACTACGTGTAGGTATATGAGAGTTACACCGGTCGTTAGATTGTCATTCGTTACCTTTCAGCGCATTGTTTGGGACACTCCACTGAGTGCCTCTTCAAGGTTACTAGTTTTAAGCGTAGGCGATATTTAGCAATTAGCCTCTGAGCGTCGCTTAGCATTTTGGAGCGCAAGGAAACAAAAATATTTTTGTTTTCAATCGTACTGTAGGTATACTGTACAGAACGATTTGTAGATGTTCGATCGTCTCGAATTAGATTTATTCCAGTCTTTCCCAGTTAAAGCAACTAAACAAACGCGCCAGAGGTTTGTGAGTTGCGCTGAGAAAAGACAGACAGTAGTGTTCTTGGCGAGTGCATTCATATGATTTCGGACCACCGACGAACCTTTCAGAAGGGGCAGTTGCACCATCAAACTTTCTTTATCAGTAGGGGGTATCTGTGTGGGGCGCTCCGGCGAAGCAGCCGCGGCGGAGGGGGGCGGCGGGCTGCGCGCGTCCGGCGGCGACGGCGCCTTCTGCGGCGGGCCCTGGCCCTCCATGCCGGCGCCGGCGAACAGCGCAAAGCGGAACGCTCGTGCTACGTCCGAGACGCTCTCCGAGCGCTTGGTGGCCGCCTGGCTGGCGACTAGATCGAGACCCGAGTGGAACGAGGGAGACTTCGGGATACCGAGCGGCGAGACGGCGCGGCGCGGTTTGCTCTCAGTGGCGGCGAACATCGCGCGAGAGGGCGCGCGCGCGGCCGGCCCGGCGTGGACCATCGCAGGCGGCGGCCGGCAGCGGCATCCGAGCGGGAGCCCGGCAGCGCCGGGACCGGTGCGAGTTGCGGGGGCGGCCGGACTGCCACGCGCCGGGCGCAGTCGACACTCCGGCCTGCCGCGGCGGCGGCACTGCGCGCGCACCCCGCACACCGCACCCCGCGCGCACGCCGCACGCCGCACCCCGCGCGCACCCTCCCCAACATCGCTCAACACAACCTCCGTTAGGGTTGCCAGTTGCTACGTCCTACAGCCACTCACGATTTACATAACTATAAGCCGTAAGTACGCTGTAATGTCGCGCTTCCTGCTCACCCTGCTGGCATTAACGCAAATCCATATTAATACCTTCTGCTCTTGTTATCATACATTGACAGCATTTGTAATAACATATCCTACATACATACAGCATAGCTTCGTGATTGGAATATTAAAGGATAAAGTTCGTATTGTAAAAAAATACAACAAACAATTAAATTAACCTGTTTTCATGCCAAAAACTTGTTTGAATAGTAGAAACAATGCTTGTCAATTATTTTCCACATACCACAGAGTTGAACTATGTGTTTTATTTACAATGTAATAAAAAATATAATGGGAACATTTAAATGCATCTGCTAGGCGCCTGAGACTATTTTTTGTATGTATAGAATAACGATAATAAATGAGTAATTTTTATTTTTTTCAGCATTTAACTGCTTGATGTTTCAATAAAAAGAAAATTTTTACTACAAAAACTTCCACGCGGACCAGCCAGCAGATGAGACTTGAACCCGCGCCCTCCGCTATCCGGGCAAATGCAATGACTATTATGCTACCGCGGTCGTAATGGCCGTGTCAAATTTTTCCCAGTATTTCTTAGGCTGCCAGGCAGCGCCATCTTTTCGCATTGTAAGTAACCCACAATGTCAACAGAATACTTGTACAAGTAGCAATAGTAGTAATATTTTTATTTTGTCAGCATTTAACTGCTGGATGACTTAATCTAAAGAAAAATTTACTATAAACATATATCTATATATTTTACTAAGAAATACTAGAAAGAATTCGACACGGCCATTAGGTCCGCGGTAGAATATTTAGAAACTTATATACCAAATGTAATACTCAAAATGCGCAAAATTAATTTTGCATTTGGTAAAAAAAACTTTAAATTTTAGAAAAGTACTTAATTTTTTAGCACATCCCTTGAAAGCACTGTTTGCTTATTTCTAAGAAAAAACAAAATTACATATTTCACTTGTAGGTAATTTACTTCACGATGATGAGAGAACCTTCAGTAGCTTTTAATTCACCCATTTATAGTTGTCGAGTGTGATTGCAGAAACAAAAAACAATCGTTAATCATTATTTTAATGTTCTCTGTGGTGCTGTCCTTCTGTTGGATTGGACGGCACCATTGAAGTTACAAAGAAAGAGTGATAGAGTAAATTTAACACCAGCAAAACACGCAAACAAACGATCGGTCAACTGTTTGTTAATGTTAAGAATAGAATTCGTTCTATTTAAAGAAAGGTTATCTTTGATCATAACAATTATGTTCTGAATTTTATTGGAATAGTTACTAGCAGCCACACTCTTCTAAAGTGCTGGCACTATACTTAGTCAATTATTTTTTAAATTTTATTAAAATTGTTGTTTTTTTTATTATAGCAATAGACGATGCATAAAACATTCAAAGCATGCTCTTTGTAACTAAAGAATTATCATGCTATTATGTGTAGAAAAATACGCCGAAGTCATCAAAAATATCAATTAACTATATTACCAACTTGTACCACATAAAGATGTCGTATTCAAATGAATGGCAACACAGATTCTAAATATGCATTTTTTTATTAAGCTACGCACATGATTTTTGATGCAAATCAAGGAAAATAATTTAAACCAATAGTATAAGCTGTCATCTGCCAGTTAATGACAAATTGCGCCAAGTAATGCGTGTCTTTATACGCAGATCTTTTCTATTTTAATTTAGATTTTCAGTTTTTTTATTGAATTATTGAGTTTTTTGAGAGAATTTGTGCCAAGGTTCTAAGTTGTGCAAAAATCAAAGGTCTCCTTTGAAAAGCATTAAATTTAATCGATGCTTCATATAAATGCATTGCGTGCAAAATAACGAAAGTTCATAATACCCTTTTTAAAAAATATTCCATACAAATATTTTTAAACAATTCATTTAAAGGTAATACGGAAATCTAAAACAATAAGGGGGCAAGGCA